AGGACGCAGACAGAGAGGTAAGCAGACGACCTTGCGAGGGGAAGGTAGGCATCGTGTTGCGACGGTTGCCAACGCTGAGGATAGGTGTTGTGGGTCCCAGCTGTGGGGGGGAGGTGGAGGAGGACATGGAGGGAGGAGTGGCGTGTCGGCGAGATCAGGCATGTCCGGGCACGCATTAGCCGTTGTTGTTCTTAAGACGGGTGCCAGTCGGTCCACCTCTATCGGAGACCCTCGTAGTGGACATCCAGGTTAACATGGCGGTTAATGCTATCCGCACCGGAGTGCCAAGCTTCGAGGATTCCCGTGCCTGTTTGGCGTTGGCCATGGTGACCACTCCGGTACCCTCCCAATTGAAACGGTGGTCACAATCAAGAGCGTTTGCAAACACGAGAGATAAGGGGCCGTGAGTGCGGATAGCTAACTTCTGTTCACTAATGCGAGTACCAAGTTGTCGGCCTGTGTGACCAATATAAACGCAACGGCATTTAGCGCACGGGTTACGGTAAATGACGTTACTTTGTTGTTATTTGGGTATGGGATCCTTTGCCCGGGATAATGCTGCGCGTAAGGAGTACGCCGGCCTGTGGGCAATGCAGATGCCAAACCGGTATATTTGTCGGGCTATCGCTTCGGAAATTCCTCGCAGGTAGGGCAAGGAGTAATATTTCCTCTGTGCCCCCTCCCCCTTGAACTCTGATCTTGTGGTTGCCTCTGATGTCTGAGACAGTTTTTCACGAAGCTAATCGGATATCCGTTAGATTGGAATTATTGGTATAAGAAGGCTAGTTCTCTCTTGAGAAGATACTCGCTGCTACAGTGCCGAAAGGCGCGATGAAAAAGAGTTCGGACGCAGCTTTTTGTGGGCCGTAGGATGGTTGCTCCCTTAGATGACGATGATTTCGGCTCTGGAGTCTTCTGTGGACGCTGGTTGCGAGATTGCCACCACTCATTCTTTGTACACTGACGTCAGGGAAAGGCAGGATGTCCCCTGCTACTTCCTCGCGAGTGAATGGTATGGCGGGGAAGACATCGTTAAGACTCTGGTGCAGTCGTTCAACTTCGCAATTTTTTACGACTACGAAGATATCATCTACGTAGCGGAGCCACATCTTTGGTCTGAGTGTTTGAAAAACAACTTCTCCTAGTCTTTGTGAGACTAGTTTTTACCCGATCGTTCCTAAAGACAGAATCTGAATTACCTCTCTGTTGAGAACTTTAAAAGTGAACTATTCTTGACGGCATTTGCCGAATCAGTGAGTGTTCGGACGCTCCATTTCACGAAGCTGGTCGTTAAGGTCACATGTTAGGACTCATCCAAACATCAAACTTCATTTTCGAGTAATGATATTTTTAATTGTGGACAGAATATGAATGTGTCTCAGAGGGTAGAGTCCGTCAAGCTCCCTGTTTCCACGCCGCCCGCATGACGGAGTCAGCGTGTTGAGGGCGGTGGAGTTTGGGTGGGAGGGGGAGGGCGGAGAGGGGTTCAAGTTAGATTGTGAGCGCTGTCTGTATATTAAACACGCGAAATGCGTGTGATTGTTCTCAGGGTGTCGGGACGGTGTGCAATCACCAGTCGGATTCGGTCAGGGAAGATAGACTACTTGCGTCGAAGTCTTCTGACAACAGAGCGCTGGGTTCTCTCATCGAATGGTCACTGCAGCGGTTGCGGCTGGTACCCGTTTGCGCAGGCTTTTAGAGTAGCCTGTTGGCACCCAGTAGATAACTTTAGAGACTTCTTTGGCGTCGACTTGGTGGTTCGTATCAATTAGATGTGCGAGAATCGAACTTGAAATCGACCGAGTTTCAGATACAATTCAGTCTTCAAATCTTTTGCTTAGTTGCTCCAGAATATGACCAACCTTTCTTGCCTACAAACAAATTCGTTTAATTTTATCCAATGTTATTAGGCTAGCTAAGCATGAAGAGTATCTTTATTCGGCGCTCTAGCCTCATTGAAGTCCGAAGCATTTTCAGCCCGCGACATGCTTATTGACATTTTTGCGAAAACTGTCATCTCCAAAGAGCTCTACGCTTAGTGCAGCATTTACAAAAGCGATATTTTGCTGGTTAAATTAACTCTGGAATGCAGATCCCGCCCTCGTTAGCTCTTTAATCTTTACAGAGTCTATTATCAAAGACAGCCCGTGTAGAAATATAAGCCTCTGATCATACAGGAGCCAAGCGTGACCTGGCGTTTTAAGTTCAGCGGTCAGCCTAATTACTAGATTTCTGAGGTTTGTCTAAATGGACGACGAGGTTAAACTTGAAATAGTGCGACCGTCTAAACCTGTGTTCTCGGTAACTAACTTAGCACCTTAAGTGCGGGCCATAAGGTTCATCGCAAAACAGCTGTCATCGCAAATTTTAGAAAGTAAAACTATGCTAATGTCGTCTGGCACATGCGCTTTGGCCACTAGACTGAACAGCCTGGTTCTTCTTGGATAGACATGCCGGGCAACCTATACTTGACTCCACAGTCGAGATGTACTTAAAACGTGATAACCCTTCAAAACATCATGCTTTAAGGGATGGGAGTCAAGATCGATATTAGAGAGAGAGAGAGAGAGAGCAGTAAAATATTCCCGCTTGACCTCCTTAAGTTCATAAAAACAGATTTGACATTTTTACGAAAGCCTATGTCTGCTCAAGTATCTAGGGGAGATTACCTTTTGAGAAATTCACAATTTGGTTGTCAGAGCCTCAATAGTGTGGGGTCATAGGCTTCATAAAATCAAGCACAGCAACGTAAACGTTTTGCCTTAGGCAACTTTAACTAGGTTATGTCTGTCCATTTGAAATCGCAATAAAAGTCACAGCGCAATTTAAGTAAGTATAGACGCTTAATACGAAATAAAACATTGGAACAGCCAAAATATGGATGGTTGTGCCTGTGGGAGCATGCAACACAGACAGACAAGCTAGAAGCTAAATACGGTTTTGACAGCCCTACCCTTCAAGAGTTTAGTCGGGTTCTTAGGTTTAAAGTGGAAAAATCGTTATCATAGGGGTTAGGAAAATTGGCTCGAAAATCAGTGTTATCGGCAAGGGTCCTTTTACCCCAGCTGCATATTTATATGGGGTCTAAAGGACCGGGAAATGAGCATACTTGATTTAACGAATTGAGGCAACTTTTCGAGCTGATCTGGAATGCAGCTGTCGTAATCGCGTGTTGATGAAGCTAAATGGTACCCCGTCTCTCACTACTGCCGACTCCCCTACCACAACATTGGCCACAACTCGTCTCCGCCTACTCTCCCTGGCCTTCCCCTGCAGTTGACCACAACGCTGAGCTCTTCACCGGCCATGAAGATATCATAATGGTGTCAGCACCTTCCTGAACCCAGAAAAATCATTCATTTAAGGCAACGAACTCCTTTTATATGTATCAAGTTTTCTCTGTTTTGAGGGTATTTTGATGTCTCGTTCGTCCGGATGAATTTGACGGAATATCTAGTAATTATGTTAAGTTCATTCGACATCAGAATTGGCGCTCTCTAAATTACCCTATATTTCCGCTTCTCAATATCCTCGGCCACTAAACAGATATCTCACACCGAAAACGGCAACGTAGCGTGTGAAAAATTGCCCTGTTGCAAAAAATACTATGTCCTTCATCGTAATTCAGGCGACGCAAATTCGTCAGTGTCTGTAGCAAGTGCACATGTGAACTGCTCTTTTTGGTTTTCTTAATAGTCCAACCTTTCGATTTGCAGGTCTTAGCCACGGCTAAAGCCACCAGATTCATTTTTTCTGATCATCATGCATGCTAATTTCTTCTTGGCATTTGCTTATCCATCGGTTTGTATGTGGTCGAAGATATTTTAGTAGCAGTTAAATTGCCGTTTTTATTACGTTGTGACAACCTTATATTCTTATATATGCGGACTGTTCAATGGCATAAAAGGAAAACTGACGACTTTTCGGTTGTACTTAGCCGTCTACGGGAAGTCAGTAAGTGGTTAAGACAAACTGAAGATCAAAACTCCCTGATAAGCACGCTGCAGCCTCTCATTTACTTAAGGTTTTATCGGTCTTAGTTGAAGTATAGAGACCAGCTAGTCATACGACGATATCCCACAGCGTTCTAAACGCTTTATCTCAGTAAGCCTCTTCCACGAATCAAGCGAATGTCGGCCTTCGACTATTACAAGATGATCAAAGTGTAAGACAAGTAAGATGATAGTACAGAATTGCTATCCGAAATAATGCTACATGAAGGAATTCTATGCAGTGTTATAATATAGGTATATTTCATGATAAGCATTTTTTTGGACTGAGAGATGCCTATTCTTCCGATATGGCATTTTAAGGAAACATGAATTTCTACCAAAGGGGTAAGAGAAAACATAGTTTAACGCGCATTTTCTGCGAAATGCATTCTAATTAATAAAAGTATCCAAGCTCAGTGGAAGAGGCAATACTACTGAAACAGTCATTTTCTAACGAATGTGATCTTTGAAGGCGGCTGAGTAGAAGTGCATTGAAAAGTCAGTATTCTGCCATGATTGAATTATCATGGTTCCAAAAAATACCAAGCAGAGCAACGTCGTGTTGGGTTATAATTGTGCATACATTGATGAAAAAATAATGTGACAAGAACACAAATAAAATACTACTAAATGGAAGCGAATATGCGAATCCCAGGTTCTTGTTGTAAAGAAGATGAAGATCCGATCTCTGGGACAGTGGGTTTATTAGTCTGAGCTTTCGGTCTCGTACAGGAGGCCACCCTCAGAGACTGTGAGAAGGCAACATCAAATGAGCGGTTTTTGTAGTCACGCCATGAAGGGGGGGGGGAGAGATATGAGTGCAGCGGGTGGTATTCTCGATAAGTTGCGTCCCACGCCGTCTCACGGTGGCGTGACTGCGTGCACCCTTGGCTGAAAATTGGGTCTCGCCCCTTGGCCGCGGGAACGGAGCGCGTGATAGCAGGGGGGTATTTCAACGTGCCTGTTGATAGAGTTGGTGCCAGACACCCAGGCCTCTAACAGTTCACATCATGTCTTATTGCTGGCCCGCGCCACTGTCCGCATGCTCGCAAAGTTGAATTCGTGGCCTTCCTCCAGGGTGTGAGTGGCGATCTGAGACAACGGGTCGCCTCTCCGGACCGCGCGTTTGTGCTCCGTTATTCGTGAGCTAAGTCGTCGTCCGGTTTGTCCTGTGTAGTGGCGAGGGCAGTCCCGACATGGGATCTGATAGACGACGCCCGATTGTTCACCCACGTCTAGGCGATCCTTCACTTGCATGATTTTGCTGCGCATGGTCGCTGTCGGACGGTGAGCGATACCCATACCGAGCTCTCCAGCAATACGTTCCATCGCTTTGGATACGTTCTTTATATATGGCAGAGGGTGCCAGAGTGTTGGCGGCTCTCCTCCGTTTGTTCGCCGTGGGCGCGTGCGGAGGCAGCGGCTGACAAAGCTGTTCGGGTATCCATTCCTTGCCAGTTGGTCCCGAAGATGCCGAAGTTCTCGTACTCGTCCCTCTGGTTCACTGCAGTGCGTTTTTACCCTCTGGAAGAGTGTCCTAACACAGCTGCGTTTATGCGCCATTGGGTGGTTACTGTGGTAGTTGAGAATCTGAGTCGTGTTAGTCGCCTTTCTGTACACCGTGGTGTTGAGTTCGCCGTTGGGTGTGCGTGTGATGAGAACGTCAAGGAAAGGCAGCTGTTCGGCATGCTCTTCTTCCCTTGTGAACTGAATGTCTGGGAAAATGCCGTTGAGCAGGTCTTGGAAGTCGGCCAGTCTGCTTCTTTCAATTATGTTCGTCATAATATACGCCTTGATGGCTGGATACGAACGGGTCCACAGTTGACCAGAATGTACCTTCGGACTCTGCCGGCAAACTAGAAATGAGTAGGTGAATAAAAGGAAAGACTGTCAGGGGAAACATTATAAAAATTCAAGTTGAGAACGGTGTCCATAAGTATGCCGATGCTGGTAGTGATGGTGGTCGAGATGACGTAGGCAACCCCAACGCGATAAGGGCTTGAACTGATGAGAATGGTGATGATAGCTTATACCATGTGGTCGCGGGTGCAATTCCCAGTGCCACAGCACCGCCCGCATCGGTAGAAGTTGTCCGTATAAGTATGGGTCTTCTGTTGGAATATGCGATCTATCTTTACAGATAGATGTGCAATAATGCTCGTTGCTGTTATTCTGATGAGCGTCCTCCAATGAGGACATAGTTCGGGTGTTATTGATTCGAATTTCCAGTTCCCTCTCTATTTATTTAACTTTGTTTTCTTATGACAGGCAAGCTGTAAACATCACCAAACAGTTGTCTATTTGCAGGGCATTTCAGATAAAAAATAATGCTTAAGATTCTTTGAGTTACGCCTCGGCTAACAAAGTTGGAGCTGTTATTCACACCGCAATATTAGTGGTTGAGCTAATCACCTGCTTTAAATTGAAAAAAGGAGCTTAATTAAATGGGCAATCGGTCGTCTCGCACCAAAGCTTTTTATGTTAGCAAAACGCCGGATTTTCCTGAAACTACATAAGCTAATGCCTGTTAAAGTACGCCAACAAAACTACCAAACGATAACACAGCGTTTCCTAGGCCAGAGTTACCTGTTCTGCTACCATCGTTTGATATGAAACTTTCTTCTACTTTCCTCGAACGATAATAAAATCTACGAGTAGAATAACGTAAAAAGGTTAGCAAATTGCGAAGAAGCTGAACTGCTAACAATTTTATTTCTTCCATTTCCTTGTATTCCTGTAACCCCCACGAAAATTACGTAAAATGAAGCATGAAGTACTTCCCAGGACGATAAAATACTTGCACAGTCGTATCCATCTCACGCCTTCTATAATGGTTGTTTTAGGCTTGTCTGCACCCTTGTAGGTCATATTGTTTCATCAATCCTGAGAGTGACTTAACTGTTAAAGCGCATCTTCCAGTCAACTATATTATTTAGGTACATCGTTGATAATTTTGTAAAACGACTTTCACCTGCTAAGCCCAGACCTATTTCCGAATAATATCCTGCCATAAGCACCAGTGCAGCGTCCAAGTTGCCATCCGAACATTCAAATGGACCGATCGACTCTTTTATAAGTAATTTTTGATTGCCTCTCCCAACCCTGAAAACTCGTCTTTTAGTGTACCTGGTTAACCACTCTTCTCCTTAAATAAATAGCCAACTCGGAATGCAATGCGGAGTTTTAAACAACGCCCATTAATTGTGTATAGAATTCTGCTTTCAAGGCATGTTTTTACGGCAGTTTATTGCTATCCTAGACTAATTTACAAGTTGCACACATCGTATCAAAGAAAAAGGCAAAGCCTTGTAAGGAGCTACATTGTATCTGCAGTTATTCTGTACATGCTTATCCTAACTTTGACATGGATTTTTAATTGTGTCAAAACTAGAGGCATACGCTATTAAATCGCGTGCAGCTACAGCTTTTTTTGTGATTGGCTAACTGCGACCCTCTCTAAAATGCATAAAGTGTAGAACACCCTGCATAATTTTGATCCCTTATGCTTATGTGTAGAAGTGTTCTCGTAGTTTACTTCTCTGCCGTTTTTTGTTGTCCTGGGATAATGCGTAAGTTGAAATTGTCGTTTTTTTACAAAAACTAAAGCTTCGTAATAAGTCGCTTTGCACGTTAAGTGCATTGCGCACAGAGTCACATTGATCGTGCTTGCCCTAATTTCAACATTTCCACCATAGGATCTGACAAATGTCCCCGACTCAATGGAGGATTTTACTTTATGGACTTCATGGACCAGGAACTGACCAGGGTGTGGCCCATGCGTCGCATCCTATATTCTCGATCCGAATCGTCAGTCATAATAATGATGAACATTGACGGCAATGTGCACACCAAAAGCTGCACTTTCCAAAGTTGTTTTCAAGAAGCCAGAGTTTGTCGTCTTTCTTGCACAATAATAATCCCCCAAAGCTCGATCTCGGTCTATCACGCGGTAAGAGATATTCGTTGAATACATCTATGTTATTTCAGTTTCAGTTTAAGTTTCAGTTGTCGTTTATAAAGGTAAATATAGGCGAGCGACTTTGTTGAAGAAAAACATTGATAAGTAGGAAGGTGAAAAACAGATTTTGTATATAATTGCGGACAGCTGCCAGCTAGTCCAAAAATATAAATAATTAATGGTTACTTACTGATAAACAGTAGTAAAACACATATAAGTTTGTGCCGGTTATGTGAGTGGGTGTGAGGCTGACAATTGAGAAGCTTGATACGCGTCAAGTCTACACTTAAAGTAATCCACACAGGAGGAGATTGCAACGTCAGTAGGTAGAGCATTCTCCGTTGCAACCACTCTGTTACTGAAAAAGAACGTTCGTCCATTGATCCTTACTTTCCCTACGCGTAGTTTAAGGTGATGACCGCGCAAAGTGGGCGTGTTGTCTTGAGTGAAATAATCAGGGAGATCTAAGCAGCGGTATAGACTGTCGACAATGTGAAATGTTAGGATAAAGTCACCACGTAATTGCCTGTAGGAAGGGGGAAACAGGTTGAGAGTTGACAGTCTGGTTGCAGAGGGCAGTGCTCCCAGACCTTTTGTCATTTTGGTCGCCCGTCTCTGAGCCTTCCCCAAGACGGTATAGGCCTTGGCAGGCCAAGGTCTCCACGTCTATATGGCGTATTCCAGATGAGGCCGAACGTGGTGGCCAAATATTTTAGAAGAGCAGTCAGGGTCAAATCCAGTAAAGGCTCGCTTAATGATTTGCAATGAAGCCATGGCCGATTTAGACGCCTTCGAAATATTCCTTAATATTAACTCGTTTTTAACTGTAATTAATCCTGATTTACACTTTATGGACAATTAGGACGGCCGCTTTGACCCTGGGCAATTACGATTTGAAGATGATGACCAGTGTAATTTCGTCTTAAATGTGTCAACTGCGTACGCTTTTGCTGAAGTCGTCTACAGTCCAACTGGGTTACAGACAGTTCGTCTGCCTCGATTGGTCTTTCCAAACATCCTGAGATACACAATTCGCCACACCACAACGTCGTCCGCATGGGAAAAAGTAGTACGTTCGAAAATGGATCTCTTGTTAGAACAGGCCTTTTATAAACACAGATCGATCCGCTGTGTACTATAAATGCAGTGCAAATAAGCACCATTATTACGACTTAAATAAACGATCTCCGGTAAATAAATAAATGAATTTTATATTTGATGTGAGTTTTAGACTTTTCTTCCGTTGAAATAGGTGTTTTTCCAATGAAAAGGTCGGAAATGTTTTAAGTGTGGCCACTATTTTGCCTTCTATATTCTCGCAACGACTGATGACCGAGTGCAGATTTCAAAATGAAATAATGCACTCACATCTGCAGTATAAATAATTAAGTTTTGCATGAATGAACCTGGTATGGTTGGTGAGCTGGTGCACTCCAATGATTAGAGGAAGTCAACGAAACACACATTTTCTCCCACTTGAAACAAGCAGCCATCCATTTGATATTGCAAAGGAGGCTACTGAACGTATCGCATTTCTTTTTTTCCAAGTAACATGGCCCCGTATTTTGCCCTCTTTAATTTGACCGCTTTATTACACGGACGTTGGAAGATATCCAGATGCGTTTGTTGCTAGAGCGTTGGGTAACCCTGCGGAAGCTTTCTCTGACAGGTGGAATCCACTGCAGCGTGCACACGACGGTTATTCGATGCATGCTGCGGTTCAAATTAAAACAAGAGGGCAATTTAAAATACAAGAGGGCCTAGAATGCATCACCGGCGTCCCAGAGTTTAAGCCAATGAAGTGGGCTTTACTTTATGCAGCTCTTGCATCGGCGGTTTTTCGCTTCTTTTAACCATCTTCACTCACCTTCATTATGCACCAAGATTTAAGCCAATAGACGCAATTATATAAATCGCAATGTGTGACAGACTAGACTGACTAGGTATGACTTATGGGTAATTAACCACCAACGGACCACCTCGTACAATCGCCTCGCTACCACTAAGTCTCTGTCGGGAATGGGCATTATACATCCCGTACTTACAATCGGATAATTCTGAATGAAGCTAAATAACTGCTCCTAATTTACGGAGCCGAACAGTGTCCGCTAGTCTTGTGCTACTTGTCAAACAATGGAGGGTCAACTAACCTTACAGCAACGTCGAACGGCGTGCGTCTTTGCCTCACATCCCGTAGTCCCCATTCGGCCTCCCCAGCCTCAAGCTACGCAGAGGGCGGCATGCACTCCCGTAGACGATCCAGGCTAATTCCGGTAGTTCTTCCACCAAATGAGAGTTCTGGCTTAGAGTGACAGTCGACAGATGTCTGTGATGACTAGATGCTCCATTTACGAATACCACCGAATATTCTTTCGCGTGGGGAGGGTCTTTAATAGCTATCCTGAACAAAACCGGGATAGAAACGCTCAGTGGTTGCAAAATGAACTGTTAAAGTATATACAAGACAACGACCAACCCTTACTCCGCCCTGATGCCTCCTTGCAGGTTGTCAGAGTGCCACTACTTACTCTCGCAGTCTGGAATGCTCGTTCCATTTAAGGTAAATCGATAGCAAACAGTCCTAAAAGGAAAGGGCTCTGATGCACCGAAAACTGGCACGCTGAAAAGCCTACAGCGGGGCTCTCAGTGAGACTCAAGTTTAGGGAACAGTGAGAGAGGTGGATGCCGGCATAATATTGTTATGGAGATAGCATCCAATGACAGAGCGATGAGACGTCGGAGTTGATGTCGCCATTAGGAGAGACGGCTATCAGGCATTCCGCTGAGCATCAACGATAGTCTCATGATCATACAACTAAAACTT